TCGGCGCCTCCCACAAACGCCTGAGCCGACTCATCCCGAGTCGACTCACCTCCAACGTGAGTTGTTCCAGACTCAGAGAGCGGTGCTTCCGGACTTGCCATGTTGGACAACGCTTGGTCGTCCCCGGCAGCAGGTTCAGAAATCTGGTGCTCCAGAGCCACAGCTCTCTCCGCGTCTTGATCTGCCTTCTTCGTCGCACGCGATTCCCGGACGACGACGTCCAGGTCTGTAGTGGGCATAGGGCTCACTAGTTAGCTTACAGGTGTGCGCACGTGTAGGAGGAAGCGTAGGTTTTCCTAGGTTCTATAGTGTACACACAATGCGTGTGTACAGTAAGACAAGATAGGAATAAGATAGCGTAAAATGAGAACTGTATTGTTTGTTTAAAGAATTTCCTTCCTAAACTGATTATCAAATATCTAAGGGACTGTCAGCGAGTGGCTGACAGTGATCCGCATCGCTGATTGGTAGAGGTGTGGCGCACTCTACCAATATGATCCTATTATATGCAATCTTGATGTACTCACACCACCAAGATAGGAACCCTCTATCTCTAACCGGTTAACGTTGCGGTTAGAGTTTCGTGTAACCCCGTTTCACCCCCCCCGTTAAGATTTGACGTGCCGGTCACAACACGTCAATCCAAGCTTTGACGTGTCCGTCAAACCTCCGAGAGAATTCTGCGCTCATTTCGAAATGAGCGTTGCCAAGCGAACACCAGTGTCATCGCCAATGTCCGCGTCGACCGTAGCGTCGACGCCAGCACCTGTGCCAACGTCCGCGTCGACCTCAGTGTCGACGCCTGTGATTGACTCCGCGTCGGTGCCTGTTTCCGCACACGTGTTGGCGTTACCGCCGACACCTCTGAGTGGAACGACAGAGAAGAACTTCTCTGTCGACAAGTACTTCGAGCTTCAAAAGAAGAAGCTCGAGCTCGAAGTAAAGCGGCGCGCTGGAGCTGCGAAGCCAGACAGTCCTAAGACTGTCTTCGATGGTTCGTCGGTGCTCTCAACCGACGGTGGTATCCCCGTGGACTACGAGGATGGTGAACTTGACGACGAGGTCACCTCGTCTTCCCAGTCGCATGAGTCCAAACCCGCGTCTGGGACTCGCCGTCCACGTGAAGACGATTCGGACGCTTCCTCGTCGAAGCGTCCGCGAAGTGCAAGTGATGCAGTGCCTTCCAGACTGGAAGCACTTGCCATCACCTCGGAGCCGCGCACTGACGACACAGTGCGCGAGCCTTGGATGCCTTCCCAGAAGGTCATCGACGACCGGTATGGAGCTCAGGTACCTCCGAATGAGATACCGTTGTACGTCGACAGTCGAATTGTCGACAACGCTGACGCTGCTGCGAAGCATTTCGACAATTCGACGAACCAAAGGCGAGATTACTACATCTCGCTCTTGCACGAACTCCGGTATTGGAGCTCGAAGAAGACTTCGGGGAGAAGCAGAGTGCCCGAGTGGCAGGCACTTTGTCAAAGCTGGAACCAGTTTGTTGCGAACTTCAACAGTGGTCCGGCAGCTTATCGCGAGCGGATCGCTTCCGCTCGTGAGC